CCACAGCACTGGGGCCCATGAGACAAGAGTGACCGTAGGGAATGGCAGCGCAAACTACCCGGGCTGGACTGGTAAGCAAAGCTTGGTCTTCTTTGTCATTTTTGCTGCTCCCCCTCCCTTCCCTTCCCCTACACACTAAACCCTAAACCCCTTCCATTGCCCTTCGTCTCCTCCACTTCTCTTCCTCTTCAGAACCGCCCGATGAGCCCAAAGCTTGCCGCAGCTGGTTGAGGGTCTAGGGTTTAGGGTTGACGGTTGAGGGTTTAGGGCCCATTCGCCCAATGCTTACCGCATGAGCCCAACGTTCAGATAGAGCATGGTGCTGGAAATCAGGCTCGCTTGCTTTGTCCAGGATGAAAGAGCATTACAAACAACCCGAAACCGTAAACTGCTCCTACATTCTCTTTGCCATGACACATTGTTCGTGGCTGAGGTTGAGAAGTAGTTTCCCCAACTGCAGCAAGATTCGCTCCAACATTCCTGACAGCACCAGCAGCTTAAGATCCTATGTTTGCCATGACAACAGCGATTCTTGCGATTCTGATCAGCATTCCTGTCTTGAACTTTTGTCTCATACAAGTACACGTGCGGTTTGCATTGCAAGTTTGGGTGATGAGCATTCTGATTAAAGGTATCTTTTCTACTTTTCTGCACGAGGTACGTTTGCCTGCATTATCAGTGTCTGCTTCAAGGTTGGAAAAATGCCGTTACCAGTTGTGCAAGACCTGACTCTAATCACCTAAACCATTGTAAGAATCAAAGGATGTGGAAAATCGTGGAAGTAGCCGTGGTTGTTGTAATAGGAGGGGACAAGCCCTAACCCCATCATACTTGCCACTGAGCTTTTGGGACCCCCTGTGGAGGCGGGGACCTGTGAAATACATGCTGGATTCAGCACTGCAAAACACCCAAAAATTTCCGGGCGGCAGAAAACGCTCCGGCAAAGGTAGCTGTTAAAATGATGACGGCGCTAGTGCCAAGTGCAACTGCTCCCGCCAGGCTTGTTTGAGAAACTGAGACAACAATGAAAGCTGTTGGAGCGACGCAGAACCTGGCAAAAGGCAAAAGGGTCCAAAAGGCAACGTCTATCCAACCCTCTATGCATCAATACGAGGTTTTTTAGAGGTTGTGTTGTTATCATCATCATCATCATCATCATCTGCTGCTGCTGCTGCTTCTAGTACTGCTGCTGCTGGTAGCATATTGCGCATGCCTGGAATGGATTGACTTTCTTCGAACGGGCGACAGGGGGGTTGCTGCAAATTAAGAGTACCAATTTTGGGCTCCCAAAAATGAGGGCTGCATTTGTGGTCTATACCTAGGTATCCAATTCAAGGAAACTGCTAAATCATCAAATCATACCAATATGGGCATAGGCACGTCCAGAAGACACAAATCAACAGCGTCTGCACGTAGTCCAGGGCATGGCTTGCAAAGCGTGGCTGTGCAAATTGCTTGGCCAGCCACAAGGCAAAATAGGTGCTGCAGATGGCAAACATGCCAACAGCTAGCATCTGTCCAAAAACCCACCGTACAAGAACGTCACGCGGCGCTCCCTGATTCAGAAGCCCCCACAAGTAATCCAACTGCTGGGCGAGGATAGGGCTGAGGGACAGCACACAGTACCTGGATTTGGGGTTAGGGTTTAGGGTTTAGGGTTCCGACCACACTGAACCTTATCATCAGCAGCGACTTTACATTGATGTCGAACATGCAAATCTTCACAGGTCACTAAGCTACTGCCCGTTTGTTTCCCCATTAAAAGCAAATTCCTTTTGTTAGCCAAACTCTGCACCACGTCTAGCACCCTAGCCTAAACCCTAGATGATCCTTTGGGAATTGCAATAGTTTAGGGGTTCTGGCTGGTGCACGAGCTCCTGTCTCAACCGTTTCATTACAAGCGCTGAAAGTAGTCAAACGCAACAAATAGGCGCCGATTAGAGTCCCTGTGCTTGGGATTCAGGGTCTAGGGTCTAGGTTCTAGGGTCTAGGTTTAGGGCCCTATTTTAATCCTCTTTGCACACCAGCAAGTTTCTTGTTGTCCTTGAGCCCTACAGCATAGACCTACACCCTTCACGAAGGTAGGGAAATCGTCACCGAGATACTGCACAGGCATTCCCGAGCGCACCACCGTTTGCATCAGCTCTTCCTTAAGCGGTCCACGCACAAAAGCAGTAAATTCTTCCAGACTTCCATACCTGAGCGCCGGAAGTCTGTGGTTTTCCAGCAGAGAGGTTTGGGGAGACGATTCAGGGCATACTACAGGGGATTAGCAATCTCAATTTAAGGTCCGTTTGAGGTACCATAGACCAGACTTGTATAAGGAATATGGAACCATGTTATTAGTAAGTATTTAGGCCCCTATATTAGTGCAAATTCGTTTGCTGCAACTTAGACCTTCCACAGCCTGCCGTTTCAACAACTTATCCTTGCTTGGAGGGTCCGGGGGACTTAGTAGGTAGATCAATGACCCCTACAAGCCGTATAGCAACCCTAATTACGCCCTTACTTATTCCCATCAAACACACATTCATACAACCACGGCTAGCTGAGCTTTTGAGGGTTTGAGTTTCGGGGTCCTAAACCCTAAACCCTAATCCCTTAACCCTAAAACCTAACCCTGGAACCCTTGGGGTTTAGGATGAAGGAGAGTGGACAAGTAGATCCCGGTAACAAAGCATGGATCATCTCCTGCAATGGTGCCTATATCCACTCCCTTCCCTCAACCCCACACCCTAAACCATACTACGCGGTTTCGGGTTCAGGGTTTAGGGCTTAAACCCTAAACCCTAAACCCTGTTTAGGGCCCAGTTACCATTCAGACACAGCCCAAAGGATGAAGTGCCGATCAAAATCGCTGGAGCAGGATGCAGCACTCAGGTCAAAGCGGGCCAAATCTGCAAACATCTGCTCCTGTTCCTGGTACCTGAGGTTTGGGGTATAGGGTTTAGGGCTGAGGGTTTAAAAGTTCAGTATCTAGGATTGAGGGCTTGAGCTTCGGGGCGTTGGGTTCAGGGCTGGGGTGGGGTGTAAGGGTCTGAGGTTAGGACACGTCGAAGTTGGGATGCAAACAGTCCATGTTTCACAACCGGAATTTTCGGGTCCTTGTAGCTATGTAATATAGGGTTTAGGTATTTCTCAAAACGCTTCCTCTATAATGAGCCCTAATAAGAACCCCCTGTGCCTGATCGCGTTATAATTTGCCCATAATCCCCGTATGTCGTTTCCCAAAATAGGCAAACTCCAATATAGACCCCCAAATACTATAATCTTTATTATTGGGACCGTTAAAAGGGTAGCCCTTATCTTGGGAAACCCCATATATGTATATATTCAACTCAAACCCTGAGTCCTCAGGGGCTCCTGCAGTTTAGGGTTTAGGGTTCAGGGTTTAGGGTTTAGGGTTGAAGGTTTAGGGTTCAGGGTTCAGGGTTTAGGGTTTAGGGTCTAGGGATCACTTGGAGGTCAGGGCGACTTAGTAAGTAGGCTAATAATGGGGATAATAATGGGTATAATAAGGATTACTATATGGGTTGTAAGGATTCTCAACCTACTTACTAAGTCCCCCTGCCCTCCAAGTAGGGTGACAACCTCTCCTTCAGGGCTTCACACTGCCAAGCATGAGCTGTATAGCTAGGACACGCGTCCGCACAAACCAGTGTGGGGGAGTTTCTTTTAAAGGAGGCCCCTAAAAGCCTTGGGGATGCCAAGGGATATAAGGTTTAGCGTATAAGTTGGGTTGGGTCCCCACCCACTAATAGTGGTATACTAGGAAGATATAAGGACCCTAAAATCATCACCATTACCTCTTGTGGTCACTATTAGTGGGTGAGGGCCCAACCTCAGGCACAAGGTTTAGGGTTTAGGGTTTAGGTTTAGGGCTCAGAGATTAGGAGAGGATTCTGGGAGGTCCTTATTTTGGAATTCTATGGGGATGTTTATGAAAAGCATCCTTTTCCACGAGTAGGATTCGCCTCATACACTTAAGCACCTCAAAACAGTACTCCCTGCCCCTGAGATCGCACATAAAGGACCCCTAGTGTCTAAAGGCCCAGGGGGGCTATACCTCCCTCAAACACGGCGGTTTAGGGTTTAGGGTTAAGGGCTACCTTCTGAGCTTCAAATACGAAAGCCAAAAAAAGCCGCCAAAAGGGTATGTGCCAAGATCTCATCTAGTTCGCAGCAATCACGTCTTGCAAATTTTGAGGGGCGGTATACACGGTTACAAGCCAGTTGCCAAGATGATCTTAAAGTCTACTGTATTACCCTCCAGCATAATTGCACAAGGAATCTAGGACGGTAATTCAAATTCGTAACTGTTCAGGCTTCTAGCTTATGTTCTCACCCCCGAGTTTTTGGCACATACCATTCTCTCTCCCCCCCAAAGCACCTCTTCCGGACAACGTGGATGCCTGGAAAGATGCCAAAAAAGCAACAGAGCGCCAGGGCGACAACTCTCAAGCTGCTACTGCCGGCGGAGAAGATTCGGAAGACGAGGGCCCACACAAACACGCCCGGCCACACCTGCCAAATTGATTAGGGTTTAGAGATTAAGGATTCGGGTTTATGGCTTAGGGTTCAGGGATTGGAGTTTGAGAGTTTAGGGATGTTACCCCTACATAATGGAGAATCAACTCGAAAAGACAACGGAATTGAAATTGAACATGTGACTATCTAGTAATTTACGGGGATTTGGGTTTCCCTCCAACTCTGTGTTGCAGAACACCACATGCTAGATCCCCTAAAAAGATCTAAAAACGGAACCCCCCAAGCATGATCCCATTGCTACAAGGGGGATTATTGGGTTCAGGGTTCCTTTAGGGGGTCTGGGATGTGGAAGCAAGCTACGAAGCTGAAGTGCAACGTTTGCCTTAACTTCAGCCGGAATTACTGTTGCTGTTTGGGCTTCTGGGAGCATTCCATACTATCCCCAGTTGTCCCCCTGGCATTCCCAAAAAGACTCCCCGACAGTCCAGAGGACCCGCATGTTTCAAGGTATCCTATTGCTGACCAGGAACGGCTAAGATATCGCGCTCCACGAACAAAGGCTGGATCTTGATCTTCCCTTGCGGGTTCGCCGTACGGAAGGCAGCAATTTCAAAGACCTCCCATAGCGCATGTACAAAGACCGGCCTCCCCAGAGATACTTCCGAAACGATTAAACTCCTAGCACAGGACTGGGAAGCGGACCTAGCATTTTGAAACACCACAACTTGTTTGCTGCGTGGCGCAGAAATATCCTGAAATACGTATGTTCAACCTATCCGGAATAGCAACTACTCAGAGAAGCTTCATTTGGACACTTCTACGAAATAGTCTACCAGGGGAAATCCGAGACTAGAAGCAAAGTTGGGATCAAGCTTATGGCAGGCATCGTGCAAACCAAAATCAATCAAACCACCGCGGGTCAGGGTTTAGGGTGCAATTGTGCCACGGCATTCTCTACGCTCTACTGTTACTGTAACCACAAGAAGAAGTTGAAGCTCACGTTTTGATGCGGGAGGGATCTGTGAAATGGTTCTCAGTTATCAACAACAAGGGAAGCACAATAGCCGTTGACAGAGGGTGGGTATGGTGTGTTAGGGCTTGTGGTATTCTGGGCTGCTGTTAAGGGACATAAATTAAGTCACCGTAATATGGAGATGTAATAAATGATGGGGTTCTCCTATTATTTTAAAAGACGGTTCCTTAAGTAAACCCTGAACCCTAAACCTTAACCACGAGGGTTCCCACGAACGACATCCATGAAAGCCAATTTAGGATTTAGGGTTTCGGGTTTAGGGTAACAGCGAACATGTGCTCTCTTGCTCCCTCTGATTTGCCATCCGGATACACACCACAAGCGCGAGAGGTAGGGTGGACTCCACAAGATCCACAGTTGCCCAGAAAGAGCCAAAAAGCCACCAATTCCATAGATGCCGCGTTCCCGCTGAACTGGATCCACTTGGTTCACACAAGCTGCATCGTAGAAGCATCTTGAGGTACGGCCAGAGCAAGAGGCTAGGTAAGGCGCACAAAAGAGGCCGCAGATTGCAGACAGAAATGTTGAGAGTAGAATCCATGGTCCACATGGAACGTCGACAGAATAGCCGCTCATGTTGCTCCGGATCAGAACAAACTGGGGCAGCACGTGAAAACTGTAAAGAATCGTCAGCAAAATGGCCGCAAAAAGCCACCCTGCAATTGCGTAGTGCCAGTATGTACTGAGAAGCCTTGGTTGCTGTTATGGGACTTAAGTTATATAACAGTACTATGTACCCGTATGATGGTAACCTAAATTCAACTCTTTAACAGCAACCCAGAGGCAAAGAAAGAAACTTCTGATATCCAGGCGTTGCCCAGGTGTGCGAAATGAAAACATCGAAGCCTTGAGCTTCTGCAGACGCCTCCAACAAGCTGAGCAACTGAGCCTCATTCCTAGGATCCCCAGAATCCAAGATTAAGAATAGCCCGCCCCCCCTTTTGAATATAGCTTCTTTTATAACGTACTTCGGACCCCAAAAAGGGAAAATGGGCTTACTCAACTCCCCTGATTCATCTTCTTGGGATGCATGCGCCAAAGCCATCCGCATCCGCGCAAGGTTGACGCCAGGGATATGGATCGCACAATCTCCGCATCGACGTGCAGCTGAGACCCTCCCTTCCAGGCTACCTCCCCAAAGACATTCCAATCCGGATATGAAGGGTCAGCTGTGGCACCACAATATGGCAACGCACGTGACTCATCCCAATCAAGGACCTTGAGTATTGTCAACTGTTAGAGAAACCACGCTCAATCTGCACTGGGTTCAGGTCACAAAACGTGCAACGTAACAAAAATCACCACCACCAGCACCGCCGGAGCGGCGGCGGCACCACCACCACCACCACATCCACCTGTAAAGCTCAATATGCACAATCTTCACAATCAACCTATGCAAACACAGTTGATCAATCAATCACTCTCCACGGTCCACAGCAAGCTTGATTAATCCTTTGGGCACTCACAGTGACAGCAATCCCTCTTGAGCCAAGCACCATGTGGTGTCATTCCAGTATGCTCACCGTGTGGAACACAATCCAAGTCATTGTGGAAACAGAGTCATCTAACACAATCCCTTGAATCAGACGTGTAATCATGATTCACATCGCCAATCAATAATGTCAACTTTCTTCATTCACACTGTTGACCAGTCACTTCGAAACCAATCAATAAAATTACTGCAATCAAATCAAACAACTCACCAGTAACATGTCAAGGCAGTTGCTCAATCTTTCATTTTTGCTACGCACTGCGCTCACTCACAATCCTGCACTTTACAATCGGCAAGGCGCAAGCGGTCAGTCTCATCTGCAATCACAGGAAACATTCAAGCCAACATTGCGGCGCATAGCCAATGGCTTGTACAATCCTACATACCTCTGCAGCTGCCAGCTCCAATCTTCGCACCTGTGGATCTCACCATTATAGGCGGGAGGTGGAAACAGTTTGATTTCCACTCCAACTGATTTTACTCCAAAATCCATTCTGGACTCAATCGACAAAGCACTGAATCTTTCAGTGCTCGCTACCACGTAAAGTTCAATATACGCAATATTCACAATCACCCTACCAAAATATTCACAATCACCCTACCCAAACACAACTGATCAATCAATCATTCTCCACGGTCCACAGCAAGCTTGATCAATCCTTTGGGCACTCACAGTGACAGCAATCCAGTCGTCAGCCGGACACCACTGGGTGTCATTCCAATATGCTCACCATGTGGCATACAGTCCAGGTCATTGTGCGAACAGTGTCATCTAACACCACAACCACCACTGCCGCCGCCGCAGCCGCCGCCACAACCACAACCGCCACAATCATCAGAACCACCACAACCCCAACTGCCAAGCGAGCTATAGTCTAAATTCCGAGTATCCCCCTTAATAACTTCTCACATGATCCCCTGTATAATCCCTGATATAACCCCGTTTTAAAGAGTGTATATAGACCCTCAACCCTAATCCCCTATATAACCGGCTTTGCGGAGTGTGGACCCTAAACCCTAATACCCTGTATAATCCGCGTTAAGGAGTTTAGACTATAGCTCAAGTGACGAGTGTTTCTTCATGCACATCCTTCATGAAGCTGGCTGGTCCATGGAGACCTGCTGGGAGGTTGATGATTTTAGGGTTTAGGGTTTAATGTTTTGGTTTTAAGGTTTAGGATTCAGGGTTTAGTGTTTCATGAATGTGATTATTACTTACTGGGGCTTACTAGGGAATAGGGGAATATAGTATATAAAGATTTTCTTCCTTTGTTCCTACGAAGAGCCAGGCAGATTTGTAATTCATGGGCTTCGGCTTGGAGAAGGTATGTCTACGTGCTTTTGTAAGATAGTTCATGGGTATAGGGCTCTTTAAGAAGGCATGCCAAGGTGGGTTCTCAGTAGGGCAAGTATATCTGTGACGTGTTCGTCTCTCGGACCCCGGCTAACAATTTCAGCTTTCTCTCAGAAAACCTTCCCCCCTCCTATATCTGCCTTCATCCCTGCACCCTTAACCTAGATATCCGGAACTAACACTACTCCAGGCAACCCCTGAAGCCTCGAGATCGCAGACTTGAAGCAATTTGTACATGGTTTAAGGTTGAGGGTAGACCCCCATAGATTGTCATGAACATCCTTTTCAATCCTCCGAAACCCCTTCGAAGGGCAAGTGGCTTTTGCTCATGGTACATGATTCCCCGGAAAACCTGAATCACTGAACCCAATGAAACCAAAGCTAAACGCTTATAGGAATATTCGCGGAGTCCATAGCTTTACATTTATGCTTGGGTATCAGTGTAGCATGAAATCAAAAATCCAACCCATGAACCCCAAGCCTGAATTTAACCGTGATCCCAAACCCTAACCCTAGAACATCCCAAGCCCTGCACCCGAAACCCCAAGCCTGAACACCATCCCAAACCCTAAGCCCGAAACCCTAAACCCTAAATTCCCACCCAGGCCTGCTTAGGCCGGACCCACCCTTTTCTAGGGTGCCTGGACCCAGAACTGTATCCGGCAGCTATTCACACCATCGCTTGGATCTACTACGCAAGCCCAAAAAAGTTTGTCAGAGCGTAAGCTGCACCTCCAGGTGCTCCTTCTCCTTTACTGTGACTCGCTCTGTCTGATTTTCTTGGACCCCTCTTCGGAGCCCTCAAAAGCCTCCAAGCGGCCCTGCTCGGAGGCCCTCGGAGGGCCGGCCCGCTCTTTAGAATAGAATTTAAAGGGAAAGTGGGAATTCAGGGCGTCAGCCCGAAACCTGAAATGGATTAAAGTTGGGCGGATGCCTGCGTAAGGACGGGGTGGGAAGAATGAAGCAAACACCAATTCTTGATTTCTTGGGCACGAGAGATGTGCCATCGCAAGATATGCCGCTCCTCCACACCACTGGTGTGTCGGGGCGCCATTTCTA